GAGGAGGCAGGAGGAGGAGGAGGAGGAGGAGGGACCGAGAGGAGGATGGGCAGCTGCTGGGGAAGCAGCAGGAGGAGCAGGGGGAGGAACAGTTCTGAGACCGTCATCGCGGCCAGGTCGCCCCGCCGCCGTAAGCGCGCCAGGCGTCCGGCCGCGGGCGCCCTGCCGGCGCTTGCGGGCACGGCGCTTGGGCCGCGGAGGCGTGCCCGGCCCCGCGCTGCCCACTGCGCGCTGCACCGCGCGGCCTTCGGCGGCCCTGGGAGGCCCTCGGAGGCCCTCGGCGGCGTCGTGGCGGCTTTGGCTCGCCCCTTGCCCGCGCGACGTTGTCGAGCATTGGGTTTACGGGCTCGGCGTCGCGGCGTCGGCGCTGGCCCCACCCCGCAGGTGGTTTCGAGCCCAGCGCGGCACTTCCAGCGGGAGGAAGACGGTGAGGGGGAGGAGGAGGAGGAGGAGGAGGAGGAGGAGGAGGAGGAGGAGGAGGAGGAGGAGGAGGAGGACGAGGTCCGGAGGGAGGAGGAGGAGGAAGAGGAGGAGGAGGAGAAGGAGGGAGGAGGAGGAGGAGGAGGAGGAGGAGGAGGAGGAATACGAGGAGGAAGAAGAAGATGAGGAGGACGAGCAAGAAGAGGAGGAGGAGGAGGAGGAAGAGGAGGATGAGGAGGAGGAAAGAAGAAGAGGAGCGAAGAGGATGAAGAGGGGGAAGAGGAGAAGGATCAGGTGGAGAAAGAGGAGGAGGAGGAGGAGGAATGGGGCGGAGGGGGAGGACGACGAGGAGGAGAAGGACGAGGAGGAGCAGGAGGAAGAAGAGGAGGAGGAGGAATAGGAGGATGAGACAAATGAGGAGGAGGAGGATGAAGAGGATGAGGAAGAAGAGGAGGAGCGAGGTGGAGGAGGCAAAGGAGAAGGAAGAGGACTCCTCCTCCTCTTAGAGGAGGCGGAGGAGGAGGTGGGAGCAGGAGAAGGAGGAAGCTGAGGAGAAGGAGGAGCAGGAGCAGGAGGGGCAGGAGGAAGAATGGGAAGGAGGAGCAGGAGGACGGAAGGAGGAGGAGAGGGAGGAGAAGGAGGAGGATGATGAGTAGGAGGAGGGGGAGGAGGAGGAGGAGGGGCGGAGGAGGAGGAGGAGGCGGAGGAGGAGGAGGAGGGGGGTCGATGGATCAAGAAACCAAGTGGAGGAGGAGGAGGTGGATGAGGAGGAGGAGGAGGATGAGGTTCAGGAAGAGGAGGAGGAGGAGGAGGAGGAGGAGGAGAAGGAGGAGGAGGAGGAGGAGGAGCAAGAACACAGGAGGAGGAGGAGGAGGAGAAGGAGCAGGAGGAAGAGGAGGAAGAGGAGGAGGAGGAGGAGGAGGAGGAGGAGGGGCAGGAGTGGTGATGATGCTGATGATGATGCTGATTCCGATGCTATGCTGATGCTGATGCTGGCGATGTTGGCGAGTCTGATGATGATGACGCTAATTTCGATGGTGATGCTCGTGATGATGCTGATGGTGCTGATCATTGTGATGATGATGCTGATGATGATGGTTGTTATTGGTTAGACTGATGATGTTTGTGCTGCAGATGATGCTGATGATGATGCTGATGATGATGCTGCTGATGATAATGATGATGATGATGATGATAATGATGATGATGCTGCTGATGGTGATGATGATGCATGATGATGATGATGATGATGATGATGATGATGATGATGATGATGATGATGATGATGCTGATGATGATGCTGACGATGATGATGATGATGATGATGATGCTGATGATGATGATGATGATGATGATGATGATGATGGTGATGATGATGCTGATGATGATGATGATGCTGATGATGATGATGATGATGATGATGATGGTGATGATGATGATGATGATGTTGAGGATGATGATTGTAATGATGAGGCTGGTCATGATCATGCTCATGGCTATGATCATGGTAATGATCATGATAATGCTCGTGATCATGATAATGATGATGACGAGGAGGAGGAGGAGGTGGAGGAGGAGGAGGATGAGGAGGAGGAGGAGTAGGAGGGAGTTGATGGAGCGAGGGAAAGGAGGAGAAGGCGCAGAAGGCGGAGGAGGAGGAGGAGGAGGAGGAGGAGCAGGAGGAGGAGGAGGAGGAGGAGGAGGAGGAGGAGGAGGAGGAGGAGGAGGAGGAGGAGGAGGAGGGGGAGAGGGGGGGAGGAGGGGATGGCAGCATTGTGCCGTAGATCGCGATGCCACCAGTCTTGAGTCCTGAGGAGGCGGGGGAGCGGGAGGGGAGAGAGAAACAGGAGGATACGAGAGGAGCCAGGCGCAGGCGCACGAGGCGACAGTAGAGGACGGCGTTGCCCAACAGGGGGGAGGTGGAGCATGCAGGGGGAGGACGCAATCGTCGTCACCGTTCCTCTCGGGCCCCCTCTCCTCTCTCCCCCCAAGGTGGCCCGAGGACGTAGCCTTAGGTCCGGCATGTCCTCCTACAGGCGGAGCTTGGACGAAAAATCAAACATACCCAAACATGCTCCCAAATAGTCAAAACAAATGATCCAATAATCCTCAGGAGAGTCCCGAGAGGCAACAATCGCCCCATTTCCTCCGGAAAGCGTAACCTGTTCCTATGTTCTTTCTTCTCGTCTGCACAGTCTCCGGACCCCAAAGATCGCTCCAAGACGCCCCCAGAGGCATCCAGGAGGGTCCCAAAACAGCCCCAGACGGCCCCGGGCCGGTTCCAGAGGCGCCCCAGACGGCCTGAGAGGCACCCCAGACAGCCCCAAGAGCGTCCAATCACAGCCCAAAGACCACTCACAGACGCTCAAGAGGGCGCCCGGACGCTACACGAGGATCCCAAGCGAACCCCAGGATTGCCCCAGAGGCTTCCAAGACAGGCCAGGAGGACCACCAGGAGAGCCTCAAAAAAAAGAATCCTTGTATTCCCGTCGGAAAGCGTATTTTTGTTAGCATGTTCCTTCTGTCCTTTTGCACCGTCTCCAAGACGGCTATACAGGTCACCAAAATGGCCCAAAGACGCACCCAGGAGGGCCCCAAAACAGCCCTTGACCGCCCCGGGACCGCTCCAGAGGCGCCCGAGACGGCCTAAGAGGCACCCAAGACAGCCTCAAGAGCGCCCAATAGCATCCCAAGATGGCCCCAAGATGGTCCGAGAGGCGCCCCAGACTGCCCCACATCGCCCCAAGACGGCCCAAGAGGCAGTCCAGACGGCCCCAGACGGCCCCGAGAGACCCCCAGGAGGACAAAAAGAGGCCCCCAAGAGGCTTTGTATGATTGTCTCTTGGGGAGCGTCGAACTTCCAGCGTCGACTTGGGGGCCTGTTGGACCCTCTGGGAGCCATCTCTGAGCCTTTTGGGGGCGGGACGTCTTGGTGTGGTAAGCTCAAAAGGTCGATTCGTGTCCTCGCACAGGGACCCCTCTTAGGGAGTTCGTGGGGCCTTCTTGGGTCGTCTTGGAGGCCCCTAGGCCCGTCCTGGAGACCTCTTGGGCCGTCTCGGCGCCCTCGTAGGCCGTCTATTAAGTCCAGACTAACGGACATGAACGGGCCCGCGCCCACCCGCCCCATTCTCACCACCATCCCAGGTAACATTATCACTTGGTCCCCGCGAAGAGCAGAACAACTTCTCACGGCAACCTGCCCTGCAGAAGCGATGATGAACACAGGGCGCGGCAGGAGAAATAGCTCCTGCCCACACCGCGTGGTGCCTACATGAGTACGCTTCCATTGACGCCGCCTCCACCACCGCGTTCCTGCCTTCAGGCCTGCTTGGCTGCATCCCTAGCCCACCTCTCACCACCCACCAAACCACCCCAACCCAACCCGAAGGCTCAGATTTCCCCTCGATTTCCAGTGGGGGGGGGGTCGGGGAACATCGAAAAAATACATATGGAACCCGTACCCCCCGCCCCAATCCGAAATTCGGGTCTTCGGGTTGGGTTGGGGTGGTCTGGTAGGTAGTCAACCTCCCCCTCCAGCGGCCACTTCCTCCATCCACACCGCCCCCACCAGAACGTCCCCTCCCGCCCCGCGCAGCCCCCGAGACGCTCCACTTCCACGTCCAAACACATGGATGGCGGGCAGGTTCCGCGGCAGGAACGCCGAGGGCCAGCCCCAGTCGGCTACATCGCTGGCATCAGCGCGCGCGAGCAGGCAGGCAGCGGCGGGCAGTGGCGTCTACCAGTATCGGTGCGTGGCTCAGTGACAGCGGGCCGTCGGCGCATCCTCTCCGGCGGTGCCGCAAAGGACGATTTGTGTTCCGAGCTCGGGTGAAGGTTGGTATGTTCCTTCGCAGGTTGTGTGCTTTGCGATTGTTCCCCATTTTCCCTGGTGGTCAATGGGCTGTGTTCGCAATGTGGACAGGTATGGAGAAAAGAAGTTGCTCAATTGTTTCGGCCGTGGCGAGGCCGTTTCGGGGGAGATGCCAGATAATCTGAGGTGTTTTGGTATGCACGGTATCGAGATGAACTCACCTTTGCCGAGCCTGCTGCTGCTCACTTAGGCCGATGAGGTTTTCATCCGTGATGTGTGCGGCCTGGGGCTCCTTCGCGTGTTGTGAACAAAAAGATCAAGTATTGATCGGGCGTTTCGTCGGTTCCCCGGGCTCCTGCTACTGCTTGTCCGTGTACTGCACTGTCCTGTTCGTCTGGTACATTGACAAGCTCAGGGGGTGGCGTTTGCAATCAGCGCCGGCATCTCCAGAGTACGTCGTCGAGTCAGTCCTTGTCGCCGCGGGCTCAGAGAAGGTCAGTGCAATTCGCTTTGCGATCGGTCCTATCCTTCTCCTCCTCCTCCTCCTCCTCCTCCTCCTCCTCCTCCTCCTCCTCCTCCCCCTCCTCCTCCTCCTCCTCCTCCTCCTCCTCCTCCTCCTCCTCTTCTACCTCCTCCTCCTCTGTCTCCTGCTCGTTCCTCTCTCCCCCCCCCTACCGCCCTGCAGCATGAGGGCCGACCCCCCGGTCGCCGCCGCGGCGGCGCGCGCGCACAGCCGGGCCCGCAGCGCGTCCCCCCCCCTCCCGCGGCGATGGCGCCGTTGCGCCGCCGCGGTCGCGCGCGGCCTGCGCGGAGCGCCCGCGCAGAGCGCCTGCACGGCGGAGGGCGGGCTGCCCGTCGAGCAGCCCGCGAAGCAGGCCGCGGGTCGGGGAGGGGGGGGGGTCGGGAGGAGGAGGAGGAGGAGGAGGAGGAGGAGGAGGAGGAGGAGGGGGAGGAGGAGGAGGAGGGGGAGGGGAGGAGGAGGAGGGAGGAGGGAGGAGGAGGAGGAGGAGGAGGAGGAGGAGGAGGAGGAGGAGAGGAGGAGGAGGAGGAGGAGGAGGAGGAGGAGGAGGAGGAGGAGGAGGAGGAGGAGGAGACAGAGGAGGAGGAGGAGGAGGAGGAGGAGGAGGAGGAGGGAGGAGGAGGAGGAGAGGAGGAGGAGGAGGAGGAGGAGAGAGGAGGAGGAGCAGGAGGAGGAGGAGGAGGAGGAGGAGGAGGAGAGGAGGAGGAGGATGGGAGGATGGGGGGATGGGAGGATTGGCGGAGGGGAGGGGGGGGGGGGGCGCGGCGCGAGGGGGCCCTCGACCTTAGACCTCGTGGCTCGCGAGGCTCCGTTTTGTCGGCCTGTGCACGGGCAGTGTGCCAGACCACGGGGTACGGCACGAGGGAGGGAAAGAGCCAGGGGGGCCCCTTACTTCGGGGGTGGACAGAGCCCCCACCCTGACGCGTCGATTCGTGAACTGTCCGCTTTCGGCTCTCGAGAGCGCGCCGCGGCCGTCATGTTCCAGGCTTGCGCCCGCCAGGTTTGGGCCCGAGGTCGTTTTCGCGAAACCACGTTTTGCTAAACGGGGGTCCTGTCCATCACCGATGATCACCCTTGTGGAAATCGGGCCTCGGGCTCGCCTGGCTGACAGCAGTCAGAGAGGCCTCCTGCTGGAACGGCGAGGCGGAGTCCACGTAAGGCGGGAGGAGGAGGAGGAGGAGGAGGCAGGAGGGAGGAGGGAGGAGGGAGGAGGGAGGAGGGAGGACGGAGGACGGAGGAAGGAGGAGAGGGGGGAATGGGGAGGGGGGAGACGACCTCGCCATGCTTTACATGCTGCCTGTACGCTGCGTCCGTGCGGCAGCTAAACCCGAAGACCTCGCCCAGGCAGGGAAGGAATGCGGCGTGCACCTTAAGAAGGGAAGGTGGGGCAGGAGGGATGGCAGAGGAGGAGTTGGCGGGCTGCGCGCTTGGTCCAGCCAGGCGGGAGAGCTCGGGCTTACGCGATTCAGGGCGGCCTCGGGCACGATGGCGGACCTCGCGGGCTGTACCGGCGCTTGGAGGAGAAGAGGGAAGGGTGCCTGCGTCCTGGTCGATTCGGTTGCTTTGCGGTCGACTGCGTTCGGTCGGTGCGGTGCGGTTCGGTCGATTGTTGTGTCGTTGCTGCGTCGCTGCGTCCTCGTAGACTGCCAGCGGCCTGTCGGTTTCGGCTTCGATGCCGGTTCCGTCGGTTTTTGTTCGGTTGTGTTGTTGTCAAGGGCGGCCTTTTGATCTTCCTCCGTCCTCATCCTTTGCCCCCTCTTGCCGGAGCAGCGCCGTGCGAGGGCGGGGCACCGCCGGGCGGAGTGAAGCCTGCTGCCAGAGCCCTGCTTCAGGGGAAGAGGAGGGGTTCCACCGAGCTGTGCCCCGATCCGATTTGATTCTGATGTTCAGGCGATTCAACGCGGCCCGAATCTCGCATGGCGCCGCTGTGCATCATGGCTCGTCCAGTTCGGTTCGATTCTGACTCCGTGCCGATGCGGCCGGATTCGATGTACGCTCCGCGAGGCCAGCTCGAAGCCCACTCTCTCTTCTGCCACTGACCCGTTGTCGTCCGATATATGCCTCCTGCGTCTTTGTCCTCGTCCAGCTGCCGCTGCGCCTCTCCGCCACTGCACCAGCAGGAGCAGTTGCTGCTCCCATGGCCCGCCGGGCTTCACAGCCGTCTTGACATGTGGGCCCCGCCAGCAGAGGACGGAACCTGTGAAAGACACCACTTCTTCTGCCTCCGGCCGGATGTGGCTTAAGGCGACGTCTTGCCGGCATTCTCTACACCTCTGCCTACTTTCTCGGCCTCCGGCCGAGGGCGTCCACGGCACAGGCACCGCGTCGCCATCAACCACAACAACAGCCTGTGAAAGACAGAGTTCTCCGGATCGAACCTGGATCTCCGACGCTCTCTCTCCTCCACGGGCCTTCTTTCCTCGACTCGGCCCTCGGGGGCCCGTCGGGCTTTACAGCCGTCTTGACATTTGGGCCCCGCCAGCAGAGGACGGAACCTGTGAAAGACAGCTCTCAGGACCGAGCCTGGATCTCCGACGCTCTCTCTCTCCTCCGCGGGCCTCCGTTCCTCGACGCGGCCCTCGGGGGGGCCCGTCGTCGGGCCTCCGAGGGCCACCAAGCATGGATCGGGGGCGGCAAGCTGGCCCCCGGGGAAGGGGCATTGCTGATCTCAGGGCCCGGGGAGGCCCCTGGTGTGTATGTTACTGTTGTGCACGTGCGTGTTGATGCTGCAGCATTTTGGCTTGCCACAGGTGTGGAAAAGAGGGAGTAGGCTCTCCCTCCTCGAAGCCCAATCTGCATTGGTAGAGCGGAGCGTGCCGCGCGATAGCAGGCGCTGTCGCACCGGGCGGCACTCAGGCGAGTGCCGGCGGGACGCTAGAAGAAGGTAATGAGCACGGACAACGGGGGCCCCGGCGGTGCGATCAGGAGGTTCGCCGGGAGTGGAGCCGACGCTTTTCGGGACTACCGATCCTGGAAGAAGTGGGCGCGGGCATACCTCATCGTGCAGAAGGCGAAGGGGACACCCGCGACGGCCTTAGGGCCTATGCTGTTCACGCTGCTCGACGACGTCGCCGCCAGAACGCTGGAGGTTGTCGACATGGACGATCTGGAGCTAGAGGGCGGCGAGCAGGTCATCTTCGAGACTCTCGACTCACGCTTCCCCGACGTGGCAGCACACGACCGACTCGGAGAAGCGTTGAAGGAGGTGTTCACGATTCGCCTGGCCAGGGGCGAGTCGATGGCGGCCTACTGTGGTCGAGCTCAGGCGGCGTTCGCCAAGGGCGAGACAGAAGGTGTCGTGCTGCCGGACATGGCGCGCGGGTACCTGCTGCTGCTGGGAGTACACCTGGCGCCGCAGAACCTCGCGGTCGTCCTGGCGGCATCGGGCCGATCATATAAGGAAAAGGACGTGGCGATGGCGCTCAGGACGACTTACCCCAACGGCCTGGCGGACTTCGGCCAGCAGTCGAAGGCGTTCGGGGCGCACGTGGCAAAGGAAGAGGCCGACGAGAGCGATGACGCCGCGGACATCACGGCGCTGCTGGCGGGCTTCGACGTGATTGAGGATAACGAGGACGGGGACATCCTGGACGAGAGTGAGGCCATCGAGATACTGGTGTCCTGGCGCGATCAGCGCAACAAAATAACGAAGGAGCAGCTGGCTCGGGGCTTCGGTCCGAAGAAGCCGGACACAAAGGCGATGGCGAAGCGAGCGCGATGCTACATCTGCGACGAGGTCGGCCACTTCAGCAGAGACTGCAAGAAGCCGCGACGTCAACGCCGTCCGCCGCCACGGGATCACAAGAACAAGGGCAAAGACGGCGAGAAGCGCGGCGACGTGGTCACGGTCTACGAGCACGACTCGGATGAGGGCGTCTTCGTGGTCGACGACGGCAAGACCGAGGACGTCGTCGAGGAGGAGACCTTCGAGTGTGACGTGTGCGACGACGGGTCCCAACGGCCCTTGTACGTCGGCGGCTGCAGCAACGACGATGACGAGTGCGACTGCGAGCTGACGGTCGACGAGGAGGACAAGGATCAGGACATAGACGACCTGTGCGAGGCGTACACGGCGGCGAGGGACGACATGGATGACGTGATTGAGGCGTACCGCAGGCTGACCGCGATGCCCAAGGACGAGGTCATGCCGGAGGTGCTGACGGCGTCGGCTCACGAGCCGGGGTCGGGCGCAGTCGACACTGGGTGCGGCAAGGGAGTTATCGGCGAGAAGACCCTCGAGGAGCACAAGGTGGTGATGGAGAAAGCAGGTCTCGCGATGAAGACGATCAAGCAGACGAAAGCGACGACCTTCCGCTTCGGCAACCAGGAGACGCTGGAGTCGATCTATACCGCGGAGATACAGTGCCGAGTGGGCGGTCGACTCCTGGTGCTCCGCCTATGCGTCGTCCCAGGCGAGACCCCGCTGCTGGTTGGCAAGCCCATGCTCAAGGCCCTCGGCGCGCAGCTGGACATGGAGCGGGACGAGATTCGGTTCGCCCGGATTAACGTCACGGTGCCGCTCCGGGTCGCGGACAGCGGTCACTACCAGCTGAACTTATGCGAGATGACGAACGAGGACGGCAGGCTGATCCAGACGGCTGAGGTCGACGCGATGGTGACGGCGGAGAAGGACGACGGGCTGACAGCGGAGGAGCAGCAGGAGCACGAGGAGTCCGTCGTGGCGGCGTCGTCGGGTTTTCGCTAGGGCCGAGCCGGAGCCCTGAGGCTGACGGCGACTGGGACGACACCGACGTCCTGTGGTCAGAAGGCGTTACCGATATCATGAGCAGACGGGCCAAGCGGACGGTGATCAGGGGTGTTCTCGAGGCGCAGGCCCGGCTGGGCCGCCGACCGAAGTGCCTGGAGATCTTCTCGGTGCCGCGGGTGACCCCCGCCCTGGAGTCCACGGGGTTCCAGAGCCGCGGTGCGTTCGACCTACAGAACGGTTGGGAGGCCCGCCGAGCGGCGGACCGCCACAAGATCTTACACATGGTCGACGTCGAGGAGCCGGAGTTTGTGGGCATGAGTCCTCCATGCGGCCCCCTTTCGATTCTGCAGAACCTGACGATGGCGGAAGCGCGACGAAATCCAGAGAAGTACCGCCAGGCAGTCAGGGAGGCGGTCGGGTACCTGAGGTTCTGTGTGGTGGTGGCTCGGATGCAGATCCGAGGAGGTCGCTACTTCACGCTCGAGGCACCGCCGACGGCGAAATCCTGGGACTGTGCTTCGGTTCTGGGCCTGTGTCAGGTGGTGGGAGTACACCGTGTGTCGGTCAGCGGGTGCCGGGTGGGTCTGAAAGATCCGGCGACAAAGAAGTTGATGTCCAAGGAGTGGTGCTTCGCGACCAACGCGGACATGCTCAAGTGGACGCTGAAGGAGCTGCGTTGTTCTCGTGATCATGAACATCAGTGGTGCTGGGACAGCTCGAACGGTATCAAAAGAAGCGCGTTCTCGGAGAAGTACCCTGAGGACCTCTGCAGGAAGATTGCTGGTGCAATGGCAAGTCAGCTCGAGGTAGACTGCGTCTCCCAGACGGCCGACGTTCTGACGACATCTGATGACGATGAAGTCATCAAGCGACGGAAGCTATCGCTCGAGGCGTCCCTCAGGAGGTTTGCACGCCAACCTCGGCCACCCCAGCAATGAGGACATGGTCAGGATACTGAAGCACGCCAAGGCGAGTGAGATGGTGTTGGCCCTGGCGCGGACGTTTTCCTGCTCTATCTGTGAAGGGCGGCGGCTTCCCAAGGCCGTGCGGCCAGTGAAGGTGCCGTCGAAGATGGCGCCATTGAGGCTGGTCGAGCTGGACGTGAAGGAGTTGCCAGGCTGGAAGGAAGGGATGAAGGTGAAGGCCCTGAACATCGTCTGCCCCAGCAGCGGTCTCCAGCAGATGCTACCCTTTTTCGTGCAAGAGACCGGCAGGGTGCTGAAGGAGCTCTTTGAGAACGGCTGGAGCCAGCCGTATGGACCTCCTGCACTTCTCAAGTGCGACGCTGGAAAGACCAACCTGGGCCAGGAGATCGTCGACGCGTTCGAGAGGCAGGGCGCGGAGGTCAGCGACGCGGCTGGGGAGGCTCGCGAACAGGTTGGTCACGCCGAGCGCCACGGCACCTGGTTCGAGGACATTCTGAACAAGGTGTTGGACCAGACGAACCCGAAGGACGAGGCCGAATACATGACTTGTGTGCGGGCAGTGGCAATGGCGAAAAACTCCCTCCTACGTGTCCACGGCTTCTCGCCGTGCCAGATCGCCCTGGGGCGGAACCCGGAGATCCCGACGGACCTGATGCAGGAGGAACCGAACATCGTCGCCAACAGCGCTGCCCTACATGACGAGCCGTTCGCCGAGATGGAGAGATGCCGACAGGCTGCGAGGATCGCCGTCCTGGAGTACATGGACAATCGCGCGGCCAGGGTTGCACTCGACAGCCGCCCCAGAGTCGTGCAGTCATTCAAGCCGGGCGATCGCGTGGCTGCGTGGCGCCGAGGTCGGGGCATTCCCGGCAAGAAGGCTCACGCCCGCTGGCGCGGGTCGGCCGTGATCCTGGGCCCCGTGCGCGGCAATTTCTGGGTCGCTATGCCAGGCGTGGTGATCAAGGCGTCGCCGGAGCAGCTCCGGCACGCCACCGAGGAGGAGAAGCTGGCCGCCGAGGTCGTCCAGCCCGAGCTTCGAGCCCTGGCGGAGGAGTTCATGGACGGCCAGGGTCCGCAGCGCGGCTTCATGGACATCACCGCGGATGAGCGACCTCCCGGCGCAGCTCCTGCTGGCGCGGCTCCAAGCTCGGCGGCGCAGGAGTCGCCGGAGGAGCAGCCTCCGGCTGCGGCGGAGACGGAGGAGCCGCAGGTGCAGCCGAACCCCGATGACCGCGAGGGGGGCGCTGAGGTGGCACCACCGGCTGAGGTACCTGCTGCTCCACCGTCCGACGAGATGGCCGCTGACACGAAGGTGCACCGCCGCCTGGCGGGCAAGAGGGCGGTCTCTCCGGCCGAGGTGCGGCCTCCCAAGGCGCCCAAGGTCGAACCTGAGGGACCGCTGCCAATCCCTCAGGCGAAGATGCCCAGGCTGTCGGAGGACGTCTGCAGCGTGCTGCTGGCGAGCGTGGTGTCTGACACCGTGGAGGACGAGAAGGAGCTGCGCGTGCTGTACGTCAACTCCGAGGACGATGAGGAGCTGGAGGACGCGATGTTGACCGGCGGGAGGCGCGAGCTCAACAGGAAGGACCCAAAGTGGACCAGCCGGGAGGGACTCGCGAAGATCAACGCCGGCATCGGTAAGGAGGTGGACAACCTGTTCAACAAGAAGCAGGCGCTGGCGCCGGCGTCTCGGGTCGAGTCGGATGAGATCCGACGGAACAGCCCTGAGCGCATCGTCGGCAGCCGGATGATCCTGACGAGCAAGATCGATGACTCGGAGATGGAGGTGGTCAAGGCGCGCCTGTGCAGCCAGGGCTACATGGACCCCGACCTTATGCAGCTCGTGCGCGAGAACAAGACCTCCTCCCCGACTCTTTCACAGAACGGGAAGGTCGTGGCCTACCAGCTGTTGGCTTCTCACGGCTTCCAGGTTCAGATCGGGGACGTTGAGGGGGCCTTCCTCGAGGCGGACCCCATCAAGCGCAAGAATGGGGACCTGTACCTCAAGCAACCGCGCGGAGGCCTTCCCGGCTTGCACCCCGACCAGCTGCTGAAGGTCATCAGGCCGATCTACGGGTTCAACGACGCCCCGGCTCAGTGGTGGGGCAAATTCAGGGACACCGTCCTGGACTGGAAGCCGAGCGACGGGTGCGAGGGCTGGCGCCAGTCCAAGCTCGACCCGTGCCTGTTTTTCTTGTTTGAGGGTCGGCACTTGCAGGGACTGATATCGACGCACGTCGATGACATACTGACTGGAGGAAAAGGGAACAAGTACAACACTTTCATCAGAATTCTGCGCATGAGGTTCCCTTTCCCCAAGTGGAAGGTCAACGAGGGGAAGTTCTGTGGGTCCTATCTCATCCAGAATCCCGTGACTATGGAGATAACCGTGTCTCAGAAGGAGTTCGCTGAGTCGATGAAGCCCGCTGGTGTGAGACCCCGAGCGCCCCCGGAGACCCCGGCGACCGAGAAGGAAATCGCGAACTTCCGCGCGATGCTCGGTAGCGGCAACTGGTTAGCTCGAGAATCTAGGCAAGATCTAGCAGTCCAGGTTTCGATGAGCCAGCAGCGCATGCCCAGGCCAACGGTGGGGGAGGTGAGACACGGGAACACGATCGTGAGGAGGGCAAAACAATTCTCGAACCTGTCCTGGAAGATCAAACCGATTCCGATCGAACGTCTCCGGGTCATCATGCACGCCGACGCCTCGAACCAGAACGCCTCGAAATCCGGGACCCAGGCAGGTTGCGTCATCGCTGCGACCGACGAGAACATGATCCGAAACGAGCTGAGCCCCTGGAGCCCGCTGGTCTGGAAAAGCTATCGCCTTCGTCGAGTTACATCGTCGACTCTTACTGCGGAGACTCAGGCCCAGATGGACGGCCTAGGTCATCCTCGAGGGCAGCGATGGAAAATTCTGCCTGCGTCGTCGATCTGAGTTTCTTCCGAAGTTGGCCCCCATTGCGGTCACGGACTGTAAGTCGTTGTACGATCACATTGTCGGCTGTGGGAGTGCGGGGTCATGCTCGGACAAGCGAGTGGCGGTCGATCTAGTCATCACTAAGGAAAGCGTGAAGCGTCTAGGTGTGAGCTATCGGTGGGTACCATCAGCCCTTCAGCTAGCAGACATCTTGACTAAAGACAAAGCCGAGCCAGCCGATATGTTGAGAGCTACGATGACAAGCGGTAAATATCAGCTAACCGACGAGCCAGCCGTCATGGCAGCAGCAGCCCAAGAGCGTGTCCGTCGTCAGCTTCTATCGGCTAGTAGCAGGAAGCAGCTTCTATCGGCTAGTAGCAGGAAGGAGCGGCCCAGTCGCCAGCCGACACCACCAACGGCCGGCCATGGTCAAGTTCGAGAGCTGCCTGTCGGAGGACGGAGTCAGGAGCCTGTTCGAGAGTATCCAGGCGGAGCCAGTCCGCCACTCGGGGACGACGTGCAAGGTCGTGACCAACATGCAGATCCTGGGGGATCCAGACAGCCGCCAGCACCGAAATCGTGTGACGTTGACATGGAGCAAGGGGTCGGGAAACATCGCCATCAGAACGGCGGCCATCATCGAGGACACGGCGCTGCTATACATGCAGAACCTCGACCGCGCCTACCTCGCGGTGCTGGACGGCAAGGACCCGGAGGTGCTCGAGGGCATGGAGTCTGTCATGGAGAGCCTGCGCGTGCCGGCGCAGCATTCATACGAGGGCGTGCCAGGACAGTTAGATTCGGACGCGTGGAGCGTCATTTCTACGAGGATCCCCGAGGACCAGGAGTTCGTCCGGGCGATCGAGAACCTGTGCGAGTGGGGGAACCAGGAGCTGGCGGACTACGACGACCAGCGCCTGAAGTTCATCAAGATGATGATCCGTGAGTTCAAGGCATCCCGCGACTTTCTTCTCACGACGGTTGACGAGGGCATGGAGGACGGGGAGGCCGCGCAGCCGCCGCCGATCGCTGCCACTCCCTCCTCGTCTCCTCCGAGCTCGGGGAGCCGGTAGCCGCCTCGGGCGACGTGAGCATGAGAGTTTCGCGGCCAGACTGGTGTGCAGCCTCAATGACGCACAATTTTTGTTTTTAGTCAGTGCTGATCTCAGGGCCCGGGGAGGCCCCTGGTGTGTATGTTACTGTTGTGCACGTGCGTGCTGATGCTGCAGCATTTTGGCTTGCCACAGGTGTGGAAAAGAGGGAGTAGGCTCTCCCTCCTCGAAGCCCAATCTGCAGGTATGGTCCTCTTTGGGCTGCGCATCGAAGGGAGGAGGGAGGAGGAAGGAGGGAGGAACGAGGAGGAGGGAGGAGGGAGGAGGAGGGAGGAGGGAGGAGGGAGGAGGGAGGAGGAGGAGGGAGGAGGGAGGAGGGAGGAGGAGGAGGAGGAGGAGAGGAGGGAGGAGGGAGGAGGAGGAGGAGGAGGGAGGAGGAGGAGGAGGAGGAGGAGGAGGGGAGGGAGGAGGGGGAGGGAGGAGGGAGGAGGGAGGAGGGAGGAGGGAGGAGGGAGAGGGAGGAGGGAGGAGGAGGAGGGAGGAGAGGAGGAGGAGGAGGAGGAGGAGGAGGAGGAGAGGAGGAGGAGGAGGAGGAGGAGGAGGAGGAGGAGGAGGAGGAGGAGGAGGAGGAGGGGAGGGGGGAGGAGGGAGGAGCAGGAGGGGAGGAGGGTGAGGAGGGGGGAGGAGGAGGAGGAGGAGGAGGAGGAGGAGGAGGAGGAGGAGGAGGAGGAGGAGGAGGAGGAATAGGAGGGAGGGGGGGAGGGGGGAGGAGGAGGAAGCAGGAGGGAGGAGGAGGGGAGGGGGGAGGAGGGGAGGAGGATGCCTGGGAAGGTCGAGGCGTGCCTGCCGGGCTCCCCCCTCCCCTGGGCCCCGCCGATGCCCGCAGCGGTCTGCGGCGCGCGGCCGTGGGCGAACTCTGCGGGCTCCGAGGGCTGGACGTCTCGGGTTTTACCAGCCTCGAACGTAGCCCTATCCCCAAGATTGACACGCCAGAAGGCGATGACAACCTTAGGGGTGCGCCCTGAGAAAATAAGGGAGCCCCTAAGATTGGCATCGTGACGAGGAGGTGCCCAGCATAGGGACAGGGATATGTTCCAGGCTGGTAAGGGTTATGGTGCTCCAACCTACTTTAGCCTTGTGGTCACCAGCAAGAGTTTCGAACGCCAAAAACAAGTACCCAAACTCAAGGGTGTTGCACGCGTCGGGCCCGGGGAGGCACTCGCCCGTGACTGTTTCGACACGCTTTTGATATTTTTCGGGTACTCGAACTTATTTCTGGGATGCGGTCCTTAACTAGGATAGGAACAACATAAGTCTTGGGAGAGAGATCCACGCAGGGCACCAGTAGAATGAAGTCGGGCCCGTCCCTCTACAGGGGGGATACTCAAAAATAATCAAACGATAGTCTGGGGACTATGTTTCGAATTGTTTTTTTTGTTTGACAATTTGGGGATTTTGTTGTGAGTTCTTTTTCTTGTTCCATTTTGGAGTATGTTTGGAGTATGTATTAATTCTTCGGTCCCCCTATAGGGGGACGCGCCCGACTTTTAACAGTAGCATCCAGGCCGCCACACTCAGCGATACAGAAGAACGGGCCGCCTTTGCCGACGCTGGCGTGTAAGCGATCACTGCAGCAGCGTCAAGGACAAGGACCCCTGCCAGGGGTCGGCATGACGCGAACGCGCCGTGCCCCGGTCCGGTTGCTTTGCCCCTGCCCCAGCCTCGCTCGGGGGCGCAACCGAGGGGGGGGATGACTAGGGGGGGGGATATCATGGCGTGGGCCATGATATTTCCCCAGATTTCATGGCGCCCTTCCTCATTTCATTACGTCCCTGGCCCCTCCGCTGGGCCGCGCACGTGCCGCCGGTCATGACTTGCACCCCCCCCTAGTTGATACTACGCTTCGCGGTGCTCTTCTACGCCATGCCACGCCGTGCTCTACAATGCAGCGCGTACCCTTTCGGGATCATTGCCCTGCTCGACATCCGACTGCGCGAGTGGAGAGGGGATCTGCGCCATGGTAAGGGATGGGAGGGAGGGATAGGATGCCAGATATGACGCGAGCGCACCTAGCTTGGCACCCCCCCCTCTTGGACACCCCCCTCTTGGCCGCCTCCGGCCTCGCCGGAGGCGGGAGCACCGCGGGCACGGCCCTCCGGGCTCCGGCCGCCGCCGCGCCAGACCCCCCCCCCTGCCGACTGCGCGCAGGAGCGGCCCCTCGCGCAGGAGCGACCTCTGTTGGGTGCGGACCCACGGGGGCGCCCCGATCAGGAGGAGGAGGAGGAGGAGGAGGAGAAGGAGGAGGAGGAGGAGGAGGAGGAGGAGGAGGAGGAGGGGAGGAGGGAGGAGGAGGAGGAGGAGGAGGAGGAGGAGGAGGAGGAGGAGGAGGAGGAGGAGGACGACGACGACGGGGAGGACGACGACGAGGAGGAGGAGGGGGAGGGGGAGGAGGGGGAGGAGGAGGACGAGGAGGAGGAGGAGGAGGACGACGACGACGACGACGAGGACGACGACGAGGAGGAGGCGGAGGACGACGAGGAGGAGGAGGAGCGATGTGATAGTAGCGCCTTGCGCGCTTGTGATCGGCCCCCGCGCGGCCCCCAACAACACCGCGCACCAGAGGTCTCGCCCAGGGTCGCTCCTGCGTTCAAGGGAGGAAACAAAACACCCGGACCCGACAATCGGCGTTCACTGAACGGCCTCTGGAGTTTTCGAAGCAGCCCTGCCCTGTTCGATTCCTTTTTCCGGGTGCATTCAGTGAACGGCCTCGCGTGTCGGGGTGATTGTCCCAGACGACGTCCTCATTGTTTCAGCACGGCGCCCCCAGAAGTCCCGAAACTTTCCCTGGGACCGGCTCTTCGTCCTGAGTCGTGTTTTGACGGCCCCCAAAGGCCCGGCGAGGGCCTCCCGACGTCGAAAACGGCCCAGAACCCACAGTCCTGATTTTTGTGTACGACGTGATCATGTCGGGGGTTCTGAGGCTGGATCTGCTGCGCCCTGCTGCGCGCGCCCGGCCCCAGCGGGGGGGGGGGCCCGGGCCGAGGCCTGCCGGGGCGCCCGCGCGCGGGGCGCGGGGCCGACGGGGCCCCCGCGGCCCTGCTCCTGCTTGGCGGCGCGCAGAAGGGGGGGGGGGGGGCAGGGGGAGGGGGGAGGGCTTCTCAGAAGGAGGCCGCTTCTCGGGAGGGAGCATTCTCCCCCCCTCGCACACAGACGGGGGCCAGGGCCAGTGCGGCGGCCAGTAGTCTCCTCCTCGGCTGCTGGTCGCCCTGCCTGGCTCTGTTTTTTTGACTCCCGCTGGGCTTTGCGTGGCCGGATTCTCCCACACCTTCAACTACTTTCTCGCGCGTCGCGCGAGGGCGGCTAGGCGTCGTATAGCCTGCTCGCCTTCAACACCTAACTACCTACTAGGAGGCCGCTTCTCAGAAAGCTCCGGCCTGAATCACATCTGCAGAAGGGCCCGCGCCCTCTGAGAGGCAGGGGTGCTCTTAGGATTATACGAGGCCTTCCCCCCTCCAACCTCCCCCCTTTGCGCGTGGCTGGCCTGCCGCGCGGGGGTGGGGGGGCGCGCCGCCTCCGCGCCGCCGCGGCCGCCCCGGCTCGGAGCACCTCGGAGCCTCGGGGTCCCGCCTCTTCGAGGAGCAGCAAGTCGCCACCCTCCAGGTTTAAGTTGGGCATGTCCCTCCCCAGACACGATCGCGTCGATAACAAAAATCAGGACAGGAGGTTTTCGGCCGTTCTCGGCCTCGGGAGGCCCTCGCCGAGTCTCGGGGCCGTCCAAAAAAATCAGGATGGTCCCGGGGAAAGGTCCGGACTTCCAGGGACCCCGTATTGACAAACAAAAACAAGACGTTGCAGGTCTGGATCTACAGAAAGACGATTCAAAGATAGGCAAGACATAGTCCGGAGACTACATGTTGTTTCGATTCGATCATGTTTGAATGTGTTGTTGGTCGTTTTTACAGCTTTCTTCTACAAGCCGCCCCCCGACCTAACACCAGGTTCGCGCGGCGTTGGCGCGCCAGCGACGCCGGCGAAGGCGTTCAAGGTTGAGTTCTGCGGCGCGGAAGCACCGATGGGCAGGTAGCGCCATTGCGCCCGGTTGGAGTCAACCCTGAGCAATCGCGGCCGCGATCGATTCAAGGTTGAACGATCGTCTCGGCGTCAAGAACCTTTGCGCGCGCCAGCGCTGCACGATCTTACCGTAACTTTCCCAACCCAGCCCGAAGGCCCTAACGCGCCTGCCATTCCGAGCGGGCGGGTCGTCGGGGACCGTTGGAAAGACACATATATGGAACCCGTACCCCCCTCGACCAGAAATGTGTGTCTTCGGGTTGGGTTGGGAATGGTCTGGCAGGCAGCCGCAAGACTAGCTGTTTTCTTGTTCAAACAGAAAAAAACCATGTTCCCCAACGCCCCCCCCCCTGCCCTGGGCATGGAGGGAGGGCACAATTTGGCGTTCGGCCTGGGCTGGGGTGCTTCGGTGGGTGGTGACGTGTTGATCCTCCAGCCCTGAGTGAGCCGCGATGGCCTCGCAGCAGGAGCTGCTGGCGCGGCACCTGCGCGCGCAGGGCGCGCCGCGCGCGGCGGCGTGGCTGGCTGGCCGAGGCGCGGCAGGCTTGCCCGCCGCGTCGCAGGCGGGCGAGGCCGCAGGGCGGCATTTCGCCGTGGCGCCGCAGAGGCGCGGCTGGGCTCCCACGGGCCCAGACCCCCTCGCGCTGCGCATGAATCACGACGGGGGGCCCTTTTCCCGGGCCTCGGGGCTGTCAAACAAAGATTCTGGGTGAAAAAAGTTGCTCCCGTCGAGATCTCTGGGGGTCGACGCGGTGGCAAAAAAACATGGCGTCGGGGCTCTGGGCGCCCAGGCCTCTCCAACGATCCGATGGTTTCAGTGCCAGCCTGTTTGCGCCTCGGTGTGGGCCTGCGGGTCCCGTCATCGGGCCCAGGGCCACCAGAGATGGATGCGGGGCGAAGAGCTGCCCCTGGGGAGTGGGTCGGGACCTCTTTGGGCTGCGCATCGAAGGGAGGACGGAGGAGGAGGAGGAGGAGGAGGAGGGGGAGGAGGAGGAGGAGGAGGAGGAAAAGGAGGAGGAGGAGGAGGAGGAGGAGGAGGAGGGGGAGGAGGGGGAAAAGGAGGAGGAGGAGGAGGAACAAGAAGAGGAGGAACAATGGACCACCTGGGCCTGGGGATGGAAAAACATCCGATCGGCAGACGTCTGGAGGGCGGCGGCGGTGGGCAACGGTCACGCGCGGCGAGCACGGGGTGTCAGAGAAGGGCCGGTGGAGACAACGGTAGGTGGCCTTCGGGGGAGGGGGGCGGGCTCGTCGCCACAGCTGGACGCAGCTCGGGGAGCTGGTGCGATTGGGCCCCTGGACGAGCCCGGGCGCCGTTTTTGAGCGCACGCTGTCTCAGCTCGCCGTCCTCCGAGGGTGGTAGACACACGTGCCGGCTGCGCCGACGGCCACGCGTGGTGAGCGCACTGGGCGGGCCACAGGTCGGCTCCCGCGCCCGGCTCCGCAGTTCAGGCCTGGCTCGGGCGTTGCGTACTGGGCGGGGGGGGGGGCATGCACACGGGTGCACCCTTTGTGCGCTGCAGGGCCCTGAAGGGGCCCCCGAGGGCCCAAAAGGGGCGCGAAAGGTGCAGGTTTCTTCGCCCCTCCCCCCATCGCCCCCCCCCGTCGCCCCCCCCCATTCTTGGGCAACGCCCAGTTGACTCCAGATGGACGGCTTGCGGAGGCACGAGCTCCGCGGCGGCGGGTGCCAGCCTTAGCGGGCCCTGGAAACGACAGGGCCGTTTTTGTACCGGTTCCGTTTTGCCGTTTTCTTTTGCCGGTTCCGACGCCGTGTTTTTACTGGTTCCGTCGCCGTTTTTTGACCGGTTCCGGCTCAGGTTCCAATCCTGGAGCCGTTTTTTGCCGTTTCCGGTCGCCTTTTATGGCCGTTTCCATTTTCAAGGTACATTTTATTTTGGAAACGGTGAAAAAAACGGCCCTGCCGTTCGCGGGGCCCACAAGCCAGGGGAGTCGCAAGCCCTCGGCCCCGCCCTCCCCGCCCCGCGGGGGGACGAGGTCGCCAGGGAGCGGCTCGCCATTGGCGCCGCAGAGGTCCGCTGGGGTGAGAGCCCCTGACATGGCCCCAAGCGGGAGCGGGGCCCCCGGGCCTCGTACTCCTCCTCCTCCTCCTCCTCCTCCTCCTCCTCCTCCTCCTCCTCCTCCTCCTCCTCCTCCTCCTCGTCCTCCTCCTCCTCTTCTTCCTCCTCCTCCTCCTCCTCCTCCTCCTCCTCCTCCTCTCCTCCTCCTGCGGGGGCCCCCCAAGCGGCCCGCAGTGAGAGGGCCCGGCCGCCAAGCCTCGGCGGCGCGCACGAGGGGGGGGGGGGCGGGCGGGCGAGGGGGGGGGGGGGCGTCTGAGAGGGCAGGGCTCTGCTCAGGAGGGCTCGGAGGCCCAGGGAGGAGGAGGAGGAGGAGGAGGAGAGGAGGAGGAGGAGGAGGAGGAGGAGGAGGGCGGAGGAGGAGGAGGAGGAGGAGGAGGAGGAGGAGGAGAGAGGAGGAGGAGGAGGAGGAGGAGGAGGAGGAGGAGGAGGAGGAGGAGGAGGAGGAGGAAAGGCGTTGCCCTAATCGAACGGGGCGCGGCGCCCCACCACCGCGGCCGCGCGCCCCGCCAGGGCGACCCCGCGCGTCCGCCGCGCGATAGGCGGACCGCCTCGCCCGCAGGGCCTGCCCCCAACGGGGCTGCAGCGGGACAGCCGACGCTTGGCCGAGGGCCGTGGCCCGAGGCCGCACGGCCTCCGCCAGGCCGAGCCCGCCTGGCACCGCAGGTTGAGAAGGCTACGTGCTGCTGACCGCACGGTGCTACGTGTACGTGCAGCTGCCGAGCGTCTTCGGCAGCATCATTCAGCCATGGGAGGTTGGAAACGTTCGAAGCGCAGCACCACCAATGGAAGTTCTTTCTGGTATTGTAAGCAGTGCGGCACCGCCTATCAGCAGAATGGTGCTAAGAGAACGACATCACGTGGGAAGTCCAAGCAGGATGCTCGAGACAGATCGGCAAGCCGCAAGAGAAGAGAAGGTCCTGTTCGTAAAGTCATCAATGAAATAGGGCCGATGCATCCAAATCTTGCCAGGGTTGCCGAATCGTGGATCCCACCGCCGCCGCCCGAGGAAAAAGAAAGAGTTAAGGAGTACAAGCAGAAGCAGTGGAAGAGAATATACCAATTGGCGGAGCTAATCATTTCTCTCAAGGCCGCAGGCAAGTCAGCCGCCATCGAGACCACGGAGGTCTCTGTTTTGAAGGCAGCCATATTGCAGCTTTTGCCTCAGGCCGAGCAGCAGAAGTCAATCAGTAAGAGAGCAGAGATATTGAAGGATAAGATACAAAGAGTTGAGAAGCAGCTTGGTGAGTTAGTAAATGAAAGAGATGACTTGCACAAACAATACAATGTGGCGAAAGAGCAGCTCAGTGCATTTGATCAGGACCAGCACAAGCATCTCTCGGCCGACATGGGTTCTCATATGCAAGTTGATCAAGTCAATGTGCCTGCTCGGCCGCCACCGCCACCACCTCAGGCGCCGCAGCGCAGGAGTGACCAGGGGACAGCGGCTGGTGTGGCCCGCCCCCCACCCCCGCCCCCCCCCCCTCCCTCGGAGGGGTTGGGCAAGGGTAAAATCAATGCATTGTCGCAGATCACCGCCTCGCTGCAACAGATATTGGATCAGCAGAAAAGTCAAGCAGCTCAGATCCATGCACAACAGCAGGAGTCTCAAATGCAGGCTATGAAGCTGCAATTTCTATTTGCACAGTTTGGCGCTTCGAATGGGCAGATTGAGATCCCTCAGACCCAGGCATCGCCGAACGAACATCAACGAGCTGCTCCAATACATCAATCGCAGCCACAGACGATACCGTCGCAGACACAGATGCCGACGCCTGTGGCTACATCAGCCCCTAGGCCTCCCATGCCCATTCCGTCTCAGTCACAGATGCCAAAGGATGTTGCTGCGGCTGCAGCTCAGCAGTGCCCTGTTTCGGAGACATCTGCCACGGACACCTTCGACGCTGGCGATTACTACGCCAAGATGCAGGAGGAGCAGCACCGCAGAGATCAGCAAGACTTTGTCGAAGCCCAAGCTGAGGATGAGCAGAGGCGCATTGATGAAGAAGCAGAGGAACTTTTTTGCGATGGATACCATGCGGAGTTCAACTTCAGTCAGGAGGCGGAGTTCCATCGCCAGTTCGAAGTTGATCAGCAAGCGAGGGCAGCAGCGCAGTTTGAAGAGGAGCAACGCAACATCAATGAGGAAGCTGCTGCTAAGTTGGAGGGTGTTCCTCCCCCTCCACCGCCGCTCTCATGTGCGCAGCCGACGGCATCTCCTTCACACTGGTATTCATCCTCATCATGCGGCATCCCTGGCACCTCACAGCCCTGTGGCCCCCAAGTTGTACCACAGCAGTTCGACCTGACCGCGCAGGATGCCAAGACGGAGGAGCGCAAGGGCTCTTCCACTCGTAGCAGGTCAGATGGAGGCCGTGCCGAACGCCTTCGTCGTGGCAAACCTGACGACCTTGGCAACTCAGAGGAGGTACGTCGGGAGGCAGGTTTTCACATCCCAGGCGTGGCGCACGGAGGAGGCTGGCATCAGCTGGGTCTCCAGAGGTGCAGCATCAGCGCGCTGTGCATTTTGCCCCAGCGCTGGAGTTGCACACTTACATCGACGAGATTGGGGACTCCGTCGGTGAGAATTCAAGCAGGTCACATCTACATGAAGCAGCGGGTGTAGGTGTGAGTATTGACCGCTCTAGTCAATCAGGCATGCTTAGTGTTGAATTTACTCATGAGCCTAGCGGCACGCACTGCTCAGCGTACCAAGCTCCTCAAAGGGGCGCCAGGGGGTACCGACCGTCGGCCGCGGCCTTCGGCACGCACTGCCCAGCGCCCCCATCGAGGCAGCGCATGTGCGCCAGAGGGTACCGTCCGCCAGGCAGTCAACGGCATCGCCAAGAGGCTTTGGGGTGCCCGCCCACGTTGCAGTCGTCTTCCCCAGCGCCATCGGGCGGAGCGAGAGGAGCATTCACGGTCGACATCTACAATTGCATGTTCGGCCGCAACGAGAATTCATTGAATTTATTTCAGATAGGCGATTTGGCGAGGGTTAGTGCTGTGGCCTCACAGCACCATGCTGGCATGGAGATCGACAGCCCCAACGCGCACGTTGATCATACAGTTTCGCAGCCAGCTACGGCAGCAAATTGTCAAGTTAAGCATGTCCCTACATTACCAGAGTTGTTTGATCAGGTACAGTGGCGGTTACAGCTCTCGTGGGACTACCGTGGTATGCTATTGCATCCGTTTGCTGACTTGGCCCTGCGCATGCACCCTCCCCGTCCAAGCACGGACCAGGCCACGCATCACGTTTATACAGACGCATCTCTGTACTCCAAGTCTCCCGAGCTGGCGGCGTTCGCGCTGGCCCACGTCACGCAGGACTCCACGGGGTTTGCGTGCCAGGGCTATGTGGCGGCACGAGCGGCGACATCTCACTCCTTCGACAACATGGCCGAGCAGACCCACAGCACCGAGGTTGAACTTTTGGGCGCTGTCTGGGCGGCTATCTTTTCTCTTCAGTTGCCCTTCGATGAGCAGGTGTACATCATCTGCGACAATATGGCGGCGGTCGACAAGGCTTTGAGTCGGGTGCGCTTGGTTTCTGAGTTGGACAAGATGGCGGCCACTGTTCCCAGAGATGTGCAGTGTGTGCGTCCGATATCAGTGGTGCAGGAACCAGGTCACCAGGACTACCCATGGAACGAAGCAGTCGACTCGATATCCAGGCACTTTACTAAAGAATCCACTGTGCCACCAGATCTACCGCAGGTTCCACGTCAAGCACTGAGGTATACGGTAGATGCAGAGTGGCAGTTTACAAGGTTTTTAAATCCGACGACATCACCGTATCCGTGCTTCTTGGAAGATGGTTTTCACTTCGAGGTGCACAAACAGAAGGTACTGCAGTCCGATAATCAGGGAGAAGGCGAAATGGCAGTCCTGCGCGCACCTACTCGTATTAACTATAAGATTGCGACCTTCAACAATGTTACGACATGCTCTGGTGATGATGATGAAGGTCCCGACAAATCGGTCCACAACTTTGCCCGACACGAGGAGCGCAGAGCCCGTGCAAGACATCTTCGGCTACAGCTCAAAGATGATTCTGTGTTACTGGCTGGCATCCAGGAGACATCACATCCTGCTGGTAAGTTCGAGCCCGATGGCTTCGTGGTCGTCAACTCAGGCTCGGATTCCAAAGGGCTTGGGTGTACGCTCTTGGTCAACCTTGAGCTTGGTTATGCACGCGGGAAGAAGGGACCACTAAAGTTGTTGCCCAAGCATGTCCACGTTATACATGCAGTAGAAAGATATCTTCTTGTGCGGATACAGGCGCCCATGATGGTGCACGCAGTGGCAGTCATCCATGCTCCTCATCACAAACGAGGGACCATGGACCCGCCTCAGCACGTTCGCAAATGGTGGCAAGATGTACGAGCTGTTTTGGACCAACACCCACCGACTATTATTATGGCAGATGCGAACGCACGTATGGGCAGCGAGGTCACAGATGTTTCAGGAAGCATCGGGCCTACTGATTCACTAGACTTCAACGGATTCGAGCTCCAGAAGATTTCCAATCAGTACAGCATGAAGATCACGAACACGTTCCTCCCTCATGAGCATCCTGAAACTTTTCGTGCCAAGTGTGGTACACTACATCGGCTGGATTACATCTTGTTGCAGGGCAGCATCCATGCTTGTGTGAAGACCTGCTACGTGATGACCGACTTGGACCTTGGTGGCAAATCCCCTGACCATTGGCCAGTTGTTGTCACCATTGAGGCTGCAAAATATTACACGACACCCGAGGCAGGGAGAAAGAGGCTCGACAGGCAGAAATTGGCGGATCCTATCAGACGGAACAAATTCCGACAAGCTCTTTTAGAGATGCCAGTGCCGCCGTGGGCTACGGACATCAATCAGCAGGTTGACGACTTCAATTGCAAAATCAACCAGCTCACAGCCGAGTTATTTGCCGAGGACCGTTTCTCTCCGAGGAAGCCCTACATCAAGACAGGCACTATGGCGCTTATCAGGCTTCGCAGGTATGTACGGCGTGCACAGCAAGCGGTCTTCAGGCATTCGTGGGAACCTATTTTTCTATTGGCCAGGCTTCTGCCAAGGCAACTGGACACATTCACATACGCAAGTCGGGGCCCTGATCTGTCATCCCAGTGTCCTTGGGAAGGCCCTATGCGCCAGCTTGCCATGGCATGTGACTTATTTCAGGCCGAGGAGTTCACAATCGAGGAAATGCTTGCTGCTGCCAGATGTTTTATGGATGCATCTGCTGGTGCACTCACTTGGTGTCTTAACAGGGACAGAAAAGATTTTCTTACGCAGACTGCCAAGAAGATTGGCGCAATGGCAATACTACATGATGGACACCATGAATGGGTTTGGCTCCAGAGGTTACTGCGCTTCAATGGCAAGCAGGCAAAGCGATGCGACCACACTCTCCTTCCTCAGCGTTTCAAGCAAGACGGTTCAGTCATCGCCTCCGAGCTGGAGTGGGCCGAGACCTTGAGGCGACACTTTGCCCAACTTGAGGACGGATACGAGTGTACTGCATCGGCTCTGCAAACTGAGTACAATCAGCTATCTCTGAACCATGCTCTCGGTTTCCCGCGGTCTAGCTCTGCGATTCCGTCTCCGACATGGCTTGCCACCCGCATACGGGGGGTTAAAGCCCACCGCGCACCTGGTCATGATTTAGTTCAGAATGCTGTGCCCAAAGCTGCGCCTGAGGCTGTTCTGCCGCATATCCTGGCCATCACAGCTAAGACTGGACTTCTGGTGCAGGAGGCGGTCATACATAAAGCAGGGCTGGCATGCGGACTCCACAAGGGCAAGAGTGACAGGATGACGGCTGAGATGTACCGCTCGATCATGCTGAACTCGGACGTTATCAAGCATCACCATGCGTTCCTTCGAGCAGCCATGTCTGATTGCATCGAGATGCTCATGGTCGACTCGCAGACTGGGGGTATCAAGGGGCGTTGTGTTGGCATGGCTTCTCAGATGGTGCGAGTCTTCAGACATATTGCCAAGGCCAGGAAGTTTATTGCAATAGTCTTGTTCGTGGATTTGGTGGCCGCATTTTACTCACTGTTGCGACAGGCTGGGATCCCGCTCAAGGGGACCGAGAAGTACATCAACCAAGTCCTAGACAATGCCCTTGCGTTGGCGCACCCGCTGCTGGAGGTTGTTCTAGCGGCGCCAGTGTTGGTCGACCCCAGGGTTGACCAACATCTGGTTGCGCAAGTGATCGAGGCCCATCGGCTCACCCACTTCAGGGTGCCAGGGGATACGCAGTGGATTGTCTCGCAAAGGAGCTCTCGCGCTGGGAATCCCCTGGCAGACTTCTTCTTCAATGCCGTTTACGCCCGACCACTGAGAGGAATAAGATTTGATATGCAGCAGGCGGGCATTGCCATGGACCTCAAAGATTGTATTGATGCTTCCGAACAGGTATTCTCCCAGGGCCTCACAGTGGAGAGTGACGCGTTCACTGATTCCACCTTCGTTGATGACTCAGGCTTCTGTTCCCCATGCTACGATCCCACAGCAGTACGTGATCAAGTATCGTTGCTCGGCAGGATCGTGAGGAAGCACATGCTAGGATCAGGCTTTCAACTTCATTTCGGGAAGGGCAAGACGGCCGCGGTCATCTCCTACAATGGCGAGGGGTCCCTGCACGCGAAGCGGACCATGGCCAAGTTCTCAGCCATTGCGTTAGATAGCACATCGAACGATCGCATCGTGCTTGAGCAGGCCTACAAGCATGTAGGTGGTATCTACCATGGCGATGAGAGCACAGGTCAGGAGGTTGCCAGGAGGAAGAACAAGCACTCTACGGCGCTGAGGCCCTTAAGGGCATCTGTTATCAAGCCCGAGATTGCCATGAAGGACAAGCTCAAGTATATCGATGCGCTGTGCAGCACTCATTTGTTCTTTCAGGCTGAGACATGGGACAAGATTTCGGCCTCTTGCACGACCAAGTTGAACCACGCGCTGCTATCAGGGTACCGAGTGGGCACCAGGAAACTGCACAGCCTGCTCACTGTTGGTCGTATCGCAGATTCAGAAGTATTGGTAATCGCTAACAGGATGGAATTTTGTGACGTTTTGCGCTTCAGAAGGCTACGCTCTGTGGCTCGGCTGGTGCATTCAGGATCTTCTACCTTGCGGCTGCTCTTGGATGCTACGCTAGGTACTTCATCGTCATGGGCACCACTTGTAGTGGAGGATTTTCTTTGGCTCAAAAGGTATTGTCACGATGGTCCAGATGACTGCCCCAGGAATATTTCAGGCATTGCCTCTTGGATGAGATATGTTGCCAAGGATCTGAGAGTATTTCATAGGCACTTGCGCAGTGCCTGGATGAGTTTTTCTGCGCAGCGAATGGATCAGCACAGGGACTCCTTCATATTGCGGAAGATATTGTTGGTATACCCTGGGCTGATCCCAAGAGGCGATGGTGGACACTCAGTAACAAGTTATTTCTGCTATGAGTGCGATCAGGTTTTCCAAACAGTTGCTGGGTATCGAGGTCACTGGACTCGAGTGCACCAGCCAAAGGACATGGCGCAGTATTTTGCTGACGGTGTTGATTGCCTCTGTTGCGGTGCCAGCTTCTCGGATCGATCAGGGTTGCTAAGGCATCTCAGGCGCCCAACGGGGGCATGTCTTGGCCACATCATGGCATCCACTGCTCCCCTGGACGACGAGGCAGTTGCAGCATGGCAGCGTTTGGACCAGCAGTCGGCTGTGGACAAACGCATTCGTGGGCTTCGGGCGACTGCGCCAACGCGACCAGCACTACCTGGCAAGAGACAGGTTGCTGTGGTTGACGAGCGCCCGACGCCCCCGTGTGTGGAATGCGTCTCAGTCCCAACGCTGCCACCAGCACCTGCGGAGCGTGCCAATCGGCAATCCTATGTGTTGCATCTTGGCTGGGGTCCCAGAGATGATGACGACTTCAGCAGTATTATGGGCTGTGCCACTTGGTTTTTTTTCCAACTGTCCTGTTTCATATATCGATTGCGGAGAAGCATCAATGACTTTGAAGCTGGAGGATTCAACATTTTTAGACAATATCACTGCAAGGATTCAGTCAGGTGCTATTCTGGGAGTTCTTGTAACACCGCCGATACCATCTTGGACAGCGACGGTGAACAGTATTGGCTCGCAGGGCTCGCCTGTGCGACCTCGAAAACAATTGTGGGGAGCTGATCTGCTGAATAGGCTCTGGGTGAAGGAGTTGCGGAAGGAAAATGGTGGCATCAGAGCTGGCTCATTATTCCTGGCCGCCGCAGCGGCGGCAGGTGTGGCTGGAGTATTGGTGCACCAGGTTTCCGTGGCTCATCGTGCGGCGTCGATCTGGCAGTTGGAGTCGGTGAAGGCGCTCGCTGCTCTCCCAGAGGCCTCCTCAGTTACCTTCGATGTGGCCGACTTCGGAGGCTTGCGGTCATCCTTCGGCCAGGCCTTGGCCGTGCACTGCCCGCACCTCTCGGCGGCCATGCTCCAGCGCGGCTTGGTGGCGAGGCCCGCAGCAGCGCTCGAGGATAACAACTGGGTCCTTCCTAGGCCCTTCCTCGTGTTGCTGGGCGAGGCCTTTCTGGAGGCGCAGCCTGCGTTGTGTGGTGGGGGTGCTTTGCAGTGGCCGACGGATCCGTTTCTCGAGGCCATGCTCTTGCCCCCCGAGCGTTACCCAGAGGTGCCTTCGGACGAGGATGCTGCATGGGAGCTGGTCGAGGGCACCCTCCTCTCCTGCGGTGCGCCCCCGCACCGAGAGGGAGGCCACTGAGGACGCTGGGCTGGAGGGCTGCGGCCAGGCTGCGGCCATCTGGCGCGTGCGCGCTGGCGAGGTCGCGGTCGCGGACATATCCATCGTGTCCGCCTGGCGGTGGGACCGCACATGTACTGGGAGTACGGGGAGCTGCAAGGAGAGGACTCCGCAGGGGACCGCCCCCTCAGGGATGGGAGAAGAAGAAGGAGGAGGAGGAGGAGGAGGAGGAGGAGGAGGAGGAGGAGGAGGAGGAGGAGCTCCCAAGAAGCCCCCCTGCGGCACCCGTGGGGCTGCGAGGCGGGCCGCCCCCGTCGCCCGCCCCAACCCGTTCGCGTCCGCCGCCCGAGGCCTGCTCTTGAGGCCCTCGGGTTGCTGCTCGCGCGAGGGGGCCCTGCCACGCGCGACTCGCCCCGAGGGCCGCAGCTCCCGCGGCGTCGTGCCGCAGGCCCCCCCCCCCGCACCTCCCGACCCCTTCCCCGCCGCAGTGGTTGGTCCGACCTGCAACAGCTGCAACAGCTGCAGGGTGGGTGCAACACATGTGCAAGACGCCTGCAAGCGGGCTGCACTTCCGCCTGGAGCTGCTCTAAGTCTTGAGTACGTCGCGGACCCCACCTGGAGCAGCTCGGCAGACTTGCAACCGGTCCAGGTCAGAGCGGTCACTGCAGCAGGGTCGGCATTCCATCCTGAAGCGTTCTGCGACGGTCCCCGGGCCCGGACCTGGGGGGATTCCAGGAGCGCCGTGGGTATTCGTGGGCCTTCGACGTGCTCCGAGCGCCCGCAGAAAACGAGCCCCGAGGGGCTGCTCAGGGCGTTCCAAGGGCTCCCCGGCTGCCTGAAGCCCAAGAGTGGCCCCTGGGGCGTTCCCAGGGCCTGGGTTCGGCTCGAGAGGTCGTCGAGATGTTGCTTATGGAGGGCCCTGGGGGTTGATTGTGCTTTGAAAGCTGTGCAAGGCAGTCCTTCTGAGACGAGCATGGCAAGTTGGAGGGGCTGGGCTGGGGTTGAAAGAAGATGACGCTTCTTATCATTCAATGGGGAGTCCCTGCCCAGGACCAAGCCTGGGCAAACCCCTTTGATTTCCTTGTCACCAGAAGGATCCGCGTCGTCGCAGATGCCGCCGCGGCCTCGGACTTTGCGGAGTCCATGCGACAGGCTTCGGGAATGTAAAAGGGATCTTGGCACAAGTGCACGTAATTATCGAGAGTGGGGCAGAGCAGGTCCAAGCCGTGTACCCAAGGGGCCTGAATTTCGACGTCGGCAGTCGACATGGCACTTCGTGTTCCCCCTCTTGGGCCCCCCTGGGGCCCGTCTTGGGGCCGTCTTGGGGCCTCTGTCCCTCTTGGGGACCTTGGGGGCCGTCCTGGGGCGAGCTTGGGGGCCTCTTGGTCCTTTTTTGGGCGCTACTCGGACAGAGAAGCGAGCATGCGAAAATCGCAGAAAGCCTTATAACCCTGTTGGAACTACTCGGGCCCTCCGGGCCGGCCACCGGGGCCTCCAATACGGCCGCCAGGGCACCCCCAAGACGGCTTCAGGACGGACCATGTTGCAGAGCATGCTGGAAGAGGAGGAGGAGGAGGAGAAGGAGGAGGAGGAGGAGGAGGAGGTGTGGAGTCCAAACGACGCTCCCGAAGCCTCTTGAGAAGTCACGCGGGAATCCTCAGGAGCCGGGCGCGTCCATGACTCGGGGGTCTGGGCCTTTGGAAGAGCATTCGTTTCAAGAGGATGCTCGATGCAGACAGCTTGACGGGACATACTCCTACGGCTCGGTGGCAGAGTTGGCCTGGCCCGGTACCGTTTGAGCACGTCTGCTTTCGAAGATGGCGCGGGGGAGAGCGCGGGACAACGCTGGAAGGGTGCCAGGTACCCTGAGATCCGACGTTGCGACAACATTGCACCATCTCAAAATTTGCTGCCTTTTCCGAGCCCTATCGATCTGTAAAGATCCTGGGCGAAAACGCCCAGTGTGAAACCGTTGCGCCCTCGTGATCGCAGCTTGCTGTTACACCTTCGAGATGTCGCCGCCCGCGACAGCGGCCGCGACTTGCTCCCAGACGTCCGACGTCTGGTTTTTCATGCGAAGTCCCCAGAAGTCCCGACCCTACCCCAAGGCCTGATATTTCACCCCGAGGCGTTTTTGTTGACGGCCCCGGGGCCCGGCGAGGGCCCCCAGATATCGAAAACGGCTTAGAAATTGCCGTCGTGTTTTTGTCTAATCCTCCCAGATGGGGTCCGAGCAGGTGGGGTCGGAGGATCGTGCCGCAGTGCCGATGCATCGCCGACTCCGCTCAATGTGGAGCCCGACTTTCTCCACGCCGACGGCGCCGTTGCATCGCCGACATGGCCGATGCATCACCGATCCATCGGCGATGCATCGCCAGTGCGGCGGCATCCTCCGACCCCATCTACTCGGACCCCAGCTTGGAGGCCTCCATTCCCCAACCAGTGCTTGCACTCAAGGGGGGGTCCTAGCGGAAGTTGGAAGATTTGGCGAACGTTTCCCGCCGATTTGGGTAGCAGGCTGGGTTCCCAGGTGCCTGGCTCCGGGTTCCCGGGTTCCCGGTCATTGGCTCCGGGCCAATGTCGGTGGGTTATGGGTTCCGGGGCTTCCGGGTGGTCGATCTCCCCAGCGAAAACCTTCCACTGGTTTGGGCTTTTCTCCGATAGTTTGATCGCGACGCGAAGGGCTTCTGGGCCTGGGCCCTCAAACCCCCCCCCGCCGAGAGGTCGCCGCCCGCGCCGGGGGTGCCGCCGCCGCCGCCGTCGCCCTCGACGCGGAGTGGCGCCCGGACGGGGCGGGCGCGGCCCAGAGCGCGCCGGCGCTGCTGCAGGCGTCGGTGCGGGGCGGAAACTTTTTGAGGCCTCCCAGATGCAGGAGCCTGTTGCCCACCAGCACCGCCATGAGCTGGCGGGGGGAAGGAGGTGGAGGATGTGGAGGAGGAGAAGGAGGAGGAGGAAAGGGAAAGGAGGAGGAGGAGGAGGAGGAGGCGGAGGAGGGCCCTCTCCCCCTCCTGCTTATGGTGGTGGTGGTGGAGAACAAGCCCAGCATGGATGGGATCGGAGCAGGCGAGGTCGGAGGACCGCGCCGCATCGCCGATGCATCGCCGATGCGGCTCGATGTGGAGCCCGATTTGTTTCACGTTGACGTCACCGATGCATCTCCCGTGCAGCGCCGATGCATCGCCGATGCATCGTCGATGTATCGACGATGCGGGGCGATCTTCCGACCCCATCTACTCATACCCCACCTCAGAGGCCTCCAGAAGCCCCCCACGGTTGGCGTTGGAAAGAATGCGTTTGATGTGGCGCCGCTGGTCGGCTTACTGCACGCTCCGAAGAAAAAAAATTACAGAAACAGGAACTTTCGATTGTTTGCGCGGATTTCTCGAATCTGCGCTGGGGCCCTCCTGGCGGCGCCTCTGTCACCGCCCCAGCGAAGATCCGATAAATCCGCGCGGACCGTCGAAAGTTCATGTTTATGCAGCCTGCTCTTCCTCCAACGCTATCTCCCACCTTGGGCATAGCGCATGCACCGAGGAAGCCCTTGCGGGGGATGGCGTGCGGAGAAGGGGTCCTCGCAGGGGGAACTCCTCGCAGGACAGCGTGCTTTTCGGAGGTCGATGCTTCACGCTATCTTTCCAACGCCAGCCGTATCTCCTCGCTGCTTGTGAAGAAGGGTCATGACAATGGAGGTATCTTGCGCCTCCTGGGGCCCTCGCCAGGCCCCAGGACCCCAGGCTTCCTTTCTGAGCCCGTGCGCAGTCTGATCCGGCTGCCGAATGGACTCACGATCGAGCCCATTCGGTGGCCAAAAAGGTTCAAGTCTTTCGATCCTGTCGGAACTGAGCCCGTTCGGCTGTCCATTCGGCTGTCCATTCGGCGGCCGAACGCGTTCAGACGCCGAATGGGCTCAGACGGGAACCGTGGGCAAGCCCCCACCTCCTCGCGTTGAGACAAGCCTCATAACAAGCGGAGGTGTGTAGCCATTTTCGGCGTCTCAGAGCCCTCGCCGGGCCCCCGACCGTAAAGAAAACCAAGGACGAAGAACCGTCCCAGGGAAGGGGTCCAGACCTCCAGGTGTCAACGCTGTGCACAATCAAGACGTCAGAGTCAAGCAGTGGCGAAGAGTAGCAACCTGCCTATAGGCCCACCAAAGAAAGTTCTAAGAGTCTCATGAGGCTGTCACGATATGTTACTAGCTTTATCACCCTCACGTTCCAAGGTCATTGCCTTGGTTTGAGAGTATTCCCTTGCTTTACAACAAAGCTCTAGCAGGCCTTTAGGAATCCAGGTGCTGTAGGTCCCTGCTCAATAAATGTTCTGGGAACATGGATTGAGACGTGTGGACTAGCGACGAACCCCGTTCTCGTACAGAATTGGCGCGCTCCGTCGCCAAATCGGACGGCATTGGCTTCGTTTGTTTCGGAAGAGCCTTCCCGATCCGTGGATCTGGCGCCCAGGCGGCAGCTTCCCGGATCCAAGATCCATGTTAGCTTGCGCCCGAAGGTGGCATGCCAGGAGGGGCCAGTACAAGTGTGGCTGCTTGACCTGAAGTGGCTCTGCTGTCGAGAGACCGCCGAGGATCCTTCGGAATGGAAGAAGAGGGGAGCAACTTACCTGCCCCGCTTCCTCCCCCCGCTTCTCCGCCTGGGGGCAGAGAGTTCCACAGGGGAGTCTCGTTTACAGAGTGCCCGAACTCAGAACTTCATCTGTCGGCATTCAACCGAGCGTGCGAAGCTGGCTTGGTGACCATCCGGGGAGCTACGTCGAGCCTGCAGTGGGGCCGCTGATAGCGTGTAATGTGTTTGTGGCGTACGTAGTGCGAAAATTGTGCAGTGCGTGTGTTGGGCAGTGCGCCGCGTGTGGTGTGTGGTGTGTCGAGGGAGGGGGGGCTGCTTGCTGTGTGCTGTGTGATGTCTGGCATGTAACTACTGTCTGATCTCAGCTGTCTGGTGAGCCTTGTTGATTTGTATGCCATGTGACCATGTTGCGACCTGTTGGTCGGTCGCTGATGGTTGTGCGATGTACGTTTTGCCGCGTGCGCTGTGCGTTGTGTGCCGTGTGATGCGTGCATGCAGGTGCTCTCCCGAGATCCCTCGAGTGCCTCTGGCCGCTTTGTCGGATTTCGCTGCAATATCCAGCTTTCCGAATCTTGAAAACAACGCCCTTTCTCGTTCTAAAGCGGTGGCGGAGGAACAGTGTGTATCGCGCGTAGGTGTGTGCGATGTTTGCTCCTGACCCTGCGCTGCACCTGCCCTCCTGGCGGCCCAGCGGCAGGCCGTGCGTCCCGCTCGCCCGCGGCGGGAGGCCGGCCTTGAGAGGAGCGCATCGGCAGCCTGGCAGACGCCGGCGCTTCCCCGGCCTGGTCTGGCCCACCCGCGTTCGACAATTGCCAGCAGCGCAGCGTGAATGTTGTCTCGGCATCGCTCGGACGTGTGCCTTTCTCCTTCGGCGAGGAGCATCGAGGAGCATCCGGGACCATTGGGCGAAAAAGCCACGCACGAAACCGAGACAAAAACACAGGGAATTGGCGTCCGAGCGGTGGCAGAGTTGTGCCATGGTCCTGCCGATCAGCACCTGGGCGACAAAAAGCACGAGGTCTACTGCGCCCGGTTTTGGAGGGTAGGTTGCCCGCGTAAGGTCGCTCGTAAGCGCCCCTCGTCTCTAATGTAGCGTGCCGCGCCGGCGGCCCACGTAAGCCACCGCGTCAGTTCGCCATGCCATCGCGCGCAATACCAGTTTTGCATTGTCGCTGACCTGGCTCTCCTGGAGCATCCCCCAGACAACCGCGAAGCTCTGGCCCCCTGCGAAAACTGCAGTGCGCACTTGCTCTTCCTCCGCAGCAGAAAATACACACTGACACCCTTCAATGGACTATTCGTTGGCCTCATGGATAGGGTGGCGGCGTGTAAATCACCACTGGGAGCCAGCGTCTTTATACACCGCCACTCTCCCTGAAGGTACACGTGAAGTTCGTCGGAGGGTGTCTGTGTAGATGCTTTCGTGGCGTAGGTACGTACCTGGTCGGATCGCTCGTCCACCTCTCACGACTCCCGCCCCCCGCGCCAGAGGCGCCCGCACCGCACACGAAGTCGGCCGCCCTCGTGCAATTTGATCGATGGAATTGGACGTGCCAGATTGGTGGCTGTCTGTCGTGGGGCGTTTCGCCTTCAGGTGGTCGTGGCGGCGTCGGTCGCTCCGCTCGTACTCCGGCTGCCTCTCCTCCCCCACCTGTCGCCGCCCTGCCTGTCTCCGTCTCTTTTGCCGCCCCGCCCGTTCCCTTGGACCCTTCCGGGCTGCCGCCGCCGGCAGCTGGCGCCGAGGACGGACTCGCCCAAGGTATCGAAATGGAGCCGGGTCGGGCCATTTCCGCGCCCTCCCCTGCTGCGGAGCGTGCTCCCGTCGGCCGCCCTCAGCTGTTTCACGCTGCCCTTTTTGCACAGTTCGCCCAACAGTGCCCCCCGACGAGGCCAAAGGCGCGGCGCGCGATCCGCATCGCCGCGGCAGCAAAAACGTGTATGCGCGATCCTTGTGTCCACCATTGGACCGCACGCGCCATCAATGGGATCGAGGCGCAGGTTTTCTGCGACCGTTTCAACGCCAATGCAATCGCAAAGCCACCACGAGCGTGCCCGCCTTGCCATTGCTTCCCCGACCAGTTCGTTCCGGCAGGGCTGGGATCGGCTCCGTGTCGGCCAACTGGCTGCGCCAGGGATAGTCGGCGGGCTCGGGGGCGGAAAAGAGGGAGGTGATGACTAGGGGGGGTGGATATCATGGCGGGGGCCATGATATCTCCCCAGATTTCATGGCGCCTCTTCTTATGTCATTACGTCCCTGGCCCCCCCGCTGGGCCGCGCACATGCCGCCGGTCATGATCTGCACACACCCCTCTTGGACACACCCCTCTTGACCGCTCCCGACGGGCACATCCGTGGCCTGCTTCCTCTCAGACGCAGCGCTCCCTGCTCCCCCGCCCACCAGGTCGTCCGTGTCCAGTCCATCCGGTCCAGCGCCCACCGTGCGTGCCACGACCACCCGAGAAGCACCACGGTGGGCGCCCACCCGCGCACGCACCCAGTCGCGGCACCATCATTGGGTCGCGACGCCACGACCGGTTTGGGGCATGAAATCTTCTGCTGCCTCGGCACTGCCACATTCGGCAGCCGTTATCTCAGAGCGTGAATTACCTACCCCACTTTCGCTTCCAGGCAAGACCAAGTCATACCACGCGCCTCCTCGTCAAGCGGCCTGACCAGTGCAGGCCGTAGTCTGGCATCGTTTGATATTTCTTGGAAGCGAGGGTGGTCAAAAGCGAGGTAGGTTTGTTTGCCCCCTATTATCATTCCTTCCCCTGCTTAGTTCACCCTGTGCTCCACCGCAACAGGTGCCCCGACTCGTGGCCTTAGCGCGCACCCGCGCACGTTCACTCTCGAAACCGAGCTGGTCATGTGTCACGCCCTTGAGATACGATATTGTCCATGAATAGCATGATTGTCTGACGTGCTTGGATTTCGCGTTCCAAATCAAAAGGCGTCTGGTTTGCTCTGACGGCGAGGGCGCCCTAAATGGTACCAAGGCCTCCAGTCTCTTCGACCTCTGGTTCAAAATTGCGTTGCAATTCGTATTGCCGCGCTTCTTCTTCTGATATGCATTGCGCCAGTGGAAACACATGAGGCGTTCCATAAAAGGGTTCCGGCTTCGAGAAACGAAGGAATTGGCATTTGTTTCTCGGCGGATGGCGGCGGAAGGCTGGCGGAAAACGGCGGGAGTGAAACAAGGCCGCCCCCGCTGGCGAAAGCCAGTGGAAGGCTGGCGGGAGCCGGCGGCAGTAAAACAAACACCCCCCAAGAGAGGGCAACGTTTTTGGGCTCGGGGTTTCCGGAACCAGCCATGTGTTTGTTCGGACGGGCCATCGGTTGCAGTCCGTGCCTGCTGTCATTTCCTCCCCTCGTTTTGCTATAGTTTTCGCGTTTTGTTCGCTCTCCCGTACTGGTCTTAGTGGGCCCACTAAGACTCAGCAGCCGCGCGGTTGCCCCGAGTCGGCCGCGACGGCGTCCGCGGCGCCCACCACCCGTTTCAGGGGCGCGCATGGCCCCAAGTTGGGCGCGGTTGTCGACCTTGGCGTTGTTTCTCTGCATTTATCTTTCTCTCTTTCTCTCTCTCTCTCTCTCTTGTTTTGTTTCTCTCGCTGTGTCGATATATATATATATATATATATATATATGTGTACCTATACGTATACATACATAGACGTGTGTGTGTGTGTTTATGTATGTGCTTCTCTTTCCCCCTTTTCGCTCCCTCTCTCTTCACGCCTCGATGCTGCGTGCGCGGCCACCGAGTTAAAAAGCGCGACGGGATGTCATGTGTATAAGCGTGCTCTTGCTTGTGAAGGTGACCAGATGCACATCTACATGACCAAGTGTGGCCGATCTGCTTGAAACGGGGCCCGTCTTTGCTGACTCGGAGCTTGTATTCTCCACCGCGTCGGATGGCAGAGCGTGTGAAGATCTGTGCGGGCGTTCTTTGAAAGCGAGCCAGTCAGCGACTCGGGCACTCCATGTCTAGCCTGGCCGAGCCTGCTCCAGGGCCCGAGCAGCGGTGCTTCGTTCTTTGGTCCGTGTCTTTCCTCAACGGGTTCCCGGCTTCCCCACCCTGCAACACTTCAGCAGGCCCGTTTCCTTATTTGCATGTTCCCCTCAGAACGGTTTCTCTTCCTCCCCCCCGCGGCCGCCCACTCCTGCATGCTGGCCAACTTGCTTTTCGGTGCCCCCCTCTAGCTCTATCGATGGTGCAGCCAGCTCTGCCTCCCCGCCGACGGAAAAAACTAGTTCCCCCCAAAACGGAGGGAGCAGGCGCCGCCTTGCCCCGCCAGACCAAGGGGGCAGTGGTTCAGGCAGAGTGTTCCTCAAGCAGTGTTTCTACTGATCAGAGCGAGGGGGCTGAACCGAACAGTCATTCACTGTCCCTGGGTGCGTGGCTGAAGTTGAATTCCGCGATGCTTGTTGTTGTTGTCGTTGTTGTTGTTGCTGTTGTTGTTATTGTTGTTGTTATTGTTGTTGCTGGTGTCGTTGTTGCTGCTGCTGTTGTTGTTGGTGGTGGTGGTGCCGTGGTTGTTGGTGTTGGTGTTGGTGTTGGTGTTGGTGTTGGTGTTGGTGTTGGTGTTGGTGTTGGTGTTGTCGTTGTCGTTGTTGTTGTTGTTGGTGGTGGTGGTGTTGGTGTTGTTATTGTTGTTGTTGGTGTTGGTGTTGTTGTTGTTGTTGTTGTTGTTGTGATTATGGTTTGTTATATGGTGCGTGTTGTTTGTTGTTTGTTGTTTGGTGTATGTTGCCTGTTGACTGTTGTGTGTTGTTTGTTGTTTGTTATCTGTTTTTATTGTTTGCTGTTTGCTGTTTGTTGTTTGTTGTTTGCTGTCTGTTGTTGTCGTCGTCCGCCCCGCGACCCGACCCGCGACCCACCCGCGACCCACCTCGCGACCCGTCCCGCGACCCACCCCGCGACCCACCCGCGACCCACCCCGCGACCAACCCGCGGCCCACCCGCGACTCACCCGCGACCCGCCCTGCGACCCGCCC